TCTGCTGGTAAATTGAGAGGGCAGCTTTTGTGTTACCATTTTGAGCAAATGATGAGATGAGGGTGTTGTAGAGAAAGATGGTCGGGCTCGTGACCTTGTTGAAAATGGCTAACGTGTAGGATAAAGTAGCTAGCGTGGAAGATAAGTGGAGAAGACGGCTTATTGGGTATGTGTGGAGGATGAGGCCAGTCGTGATCATCTGGGCGTGTACCTGTTTCAACCTGTTTAAAGTTTTGCATTTTTGTAAGAGGACGAGGGTTGGGTTGTCCGCTTTCGGGCCTACTGCACTCATCATGCTGCCATCTCCAGATGTTCATTTTCTCCGCACATACCTGATTATGTTTACAAAAATTTGAACATAATTAACATATTTAGGCAATGCTAGTAACATCTACTATTTCTATGTGAGTAAATACTTAAATAAACCCTCGTCAAAGTCTAAAATGTGCCGAAACTCACCAAGTTACTTTACTCGACAGAATTTGAACCACAGTTATACCAATTAACAATAAAATCAATAACCAACTACAACATTGGTGGGCTCCTACGGCATGTAAGTTTCCAAGATACTTGGTTGCTTCAAGATCAAAGTCAAGTAAAACTTCCGGCGAGGTACTATCGAGCAAATAATATTAAGGAAATCATTTGCTATGTTGATCAAGTGGGAGAGTCCATAAATCAAACACCTGGTGGGCGTAAAGTGAGCATAAAACATAACACATTCCCGGAAAAATGTGAACACGGATTTGCAAACAACTACTTCCAGACATCAAAACTAGAATAAAACTGTGAAACGCAGCTTAATTCAAAATATACCATACAACAACTTCACAAGAAACAAACGCCAGAAAAAAGGAAGAATGGGAGAGCGTCTATAAAAGGGGCGATTTGCGACGAACAATACTACTCGTAAGCAAAGAATTACCTGAGCAAGTCTTCTATCAGTCAGGTCAGGTCAGGTCGCCGAGACATCTTTGAAATCCATTGGAGATTGGAGCGCTTGCGTTTCGTTTTATTTAATTTTCCTTTCCATAGTAATTCAATCTTTCTTTTAGGGGCCGTTTAGTTCGAGGGACAGGACGGGATAAGGGAAATTATCCCGTTTATCCGTCGTTTACATTGCAGGATTAGGACAGGACTGGTGTGATGTGGCGTCCATGTGGCATGTACGGGTGTCAAAGTTATCATTTATTGGCCGATAAAAAAATCCCGCCTGCTGCCCCAGATATCTGTATCCCGTACTGTTCATGCCCATTTTGCCCTCAACTTTGCTTGTGAAAATACCTAAACACCCCTACACATCAAATTATTTACATCAAATACCAGTTAAATATAAAATTCTCTTACCTTGCGCTAATCCTGAAATCGACGAGCAGCAGATGTGTTCTTCATTTTTCTGGTAAGTCTTCATCCTTCAATCTGTCCGCGAGGTAAGGT